TATATAACTCTCCTCCACTACTTATGACTGAACTTCGCTTCACTTCGCCAATACTTTTGACTTCACTGCGCTTCAAAAAGTTTGTTTGGTCGAACGTTAAAAAGATACACACATAGATGTAATGAAAATATAACAATTATAATAAATGTGAGAGAAAAATAAATTATTTACTAGTAATAACTAATAATTAAATGCATATAAGTAACTAATAATAAGAATTTGTTATTCCTTTTTATTAGACATTGAAAATAGAATAATACATTTTAATAGAGGAAAACTATAGAAAATTTGACGAAAAAGAGAATAACATAATTAAAATAAAAAATATACATGTAATCTCTTCTTGTTATAATATTAGTAAAATTGAACAATTAATATTTTTGTCAACACTCAACACATAATTTAGTAAGTCAACTGATAAATAAATTTGGTAATATAGATTAATTTTTCAAAAAATTTAATACACAAATTGGATATAACTAATAGAAATAAGTCTTTAGAATGCTAGGCTAGCTAGCTAATAGAAATTGGATTTAATACACAAACCTCATACCTATACAAGCCCATGACAAAGTTGTATAAGGCCCAGTAATTTACATAGTCTAAGATAGTTGGTTTAGTATAATACCAAATTGAGAAGCCAAGCATAAAATGGGGCCCTAATAATTCAATGGGCCAAGACACTAATTTGTATAGTAAAATACTCCTTGTGTCCTTTCATTTCAAGACTCAAGATGGGGGCCTTAATAATCCAGTGGGCCATAGAAGTTAATGATTTGGTGCCCTGTAAATTTGTGGGCCCTGGGCGGTCGCTCTGTTGGCCTTCTCCAGGGTCGGCTCTGTGAATAGGTACATGTTCAAGTCCTAAGCTTAATCGATGATTCATGAATGAGGATTGTATCACTATTGAGTACTACACTAAAGATTTGTTTGTTTTATCTATGTGAACATACGTCATATTTTGAGTTGATCTTGCAAAGCATTCTAGGAGTTTCGTAAGGATCCTAAATTAGATTGATGTCAATATGTGAATGCCTATAAGGTCACAAAATATGCAATCATTTTCCGGCTAAGAGTGAATCAAGAGTGTTAACTATTCAGTTAAGTTAGAATATTTATTTATGATTAATGAGATTGTTTTTTATTTGATAGAAAATATTTAAATTGTATTTATACATATTTATATTATAAATTAGATTGAGGTTCAATTATCTATTTGACCAAAGTTTCTTCATGACCCACATAATTAGGTTTGACCTAAATATAAATACCTCAATATCTCTTCATAGCCTTTGATCGAAGGTGTGAGATATAGGAATCAAAATAATGAAATTTAGAGATCATGAGATTAAGACATCAAGAGATCACAAAATCTAAGATATTGAGATATCAAGATAGAGACACAAACACTTTCCGACCTTCTGGATTGAGGATTCCTAGCTTGTTCTTCAGATCGGATTCGTTGGCTTTGGATTGTGTATCGGAGAATTAGATTGCATGGATACCGTAATTGAGGGATACAACTTATGGAAAACTATAAGTTTTTCATTTATCATTCACGCGATTTAGGGTCATATCAAATAAATGTAACTGGATCTTCATTGTTGGGAAAAAAATTAAAATTCTGTTGCGCGTGCATTTGATTCGTATGTCAAAATTTCTGACACTTGTTAGTTGTTACACATGTTTAATTTAATTGAATAAACTAGCATGAATAAGCCCCCTTATAGTCTTTACTATTTTCTCTTAACTATATGATAGCTTAATTTGTGCAATTAGTTTAATTTATTAAAAATAATAATAATCTGGGGTCCCGTTAAAAATTGCCTTTATAACTTATTAGTTGCCTCTAATCAACTAGTAATCAACCCGTGCATTTGCACGGAGGACAATACTTAGAAAAGACAACAATATAAAAGGAAAAAATAAAAATACATAATCATAATTTTTTTTCAAACGGCATAAACATACTCATAAAAAGGCCAAAAAGGTAATGTACACAAACGAGCCCGAAGTCGGGGAATTGGGAGGTTACACCCACAACTAATGTAACCTATACGGAATACCAACTAGCAAAGCTAGAAAGACCAACACACTACTAAACCAAACCAAACCTAGAAGCTCCACGA